ATCATGAAATTTGAAGAAAATTGTGTAACAAAATTGTGTTTCAATTGTGTAACACATCAATTTTGTCCCGTGCAAATGCTTTGTACCATTTTGCTATCTCCTTATATGTTACTCCTTGCTGCAAATTTCGCGATCCCTGATCATTTTTCTGCTCTTTTCCCTTTGGGCGTGTTGAGGTGAAAAGCTGGTTAAGGTGTGGAGGGTTATCATGATTGGGCGGAGCAGCAGCAGGCGACAGGATGCAGCGGGGGCAGATACAGCTAATTCCCCCCCGAATCCATCCCTAATCCCTTTGTCTGTGCACGTCACCAGGCAGGTACCATTCATATGAGAGCATTAACTCTGTGCATGCTCTCTTCACTACATGTTACACTGTACTGAGATGAAGCTGGGTTTTCTAGATGTAGGTTACGTGAGGACAGCAGAGCTCTGAGCTGCGGCTCCAAGAATCAAAGCACTTTCAGAAGCCGAGGGAATGAAATTTTCACTGCGGTCTCACTCCAGTGGGTTCCAGCAGCAGACTGGTGGGGGATAGAGGGGGTGGAGCGGGGTGGAGTTGTGGAGGGGGGTCAAAGTGTGCCATGGCTGCAGGAATCACTTGAGAACATGTCAATCTGTGGCAGTGGGCAGTGGCATGGAACTGATTGCCCTCCTAAAACAGAAAAAAGAAAGAAAAAAAAAAAGAGATTTCAACACACATTCACACCCTAACAATTACAGCTTCTTTGCCACGGTCTCCAGGCTCTTCATGCGGTCATGCCGCGGTGGCTGTGCTGCTGGTCACTTCCCCCTGCAGCACCTAGACACTGAAGCTGCTGGAGAAACAACACGGATAGATTTCCTTTCCACAGTCCGCTCCAACAGCGCTCAGCCGTTCACTGGCCTTGTTGTCAAGCAACTGTCATGGAATGAGCAACGGTTCGAGAAAAGACACGTGCGTAACCCCAGCATTCATTTTCCAGGCGAATTGTTTCTCCCAGCATGTTGTCAGATTCCCAAAAGCAAAATATCAGCACATATCAGACTGGCATTGCTGGGAGAACAAAAGAGTGTTTCAGTTTGTTATCACCTGTGACTATTGCTAGAAAGAATGTCAATTTTCTACAGCAATTTATCCTCACATTGCTTCATGGATGGTTGTTCTATTTCCGTGTCTGTAGATGCACATGTGGCCACAAGCACACATACACAGATGGTTTGTTTTTATAGGCTCCTTTGGCAGGTACATCCAAACGAGTGAGGCACTATTTATAGCACACTATCATTATGGTTGTCCTCAACATGCATATCTCTCTTTATTATGCTAATGTAGCTGCAGAATTCACAAAGTAATTGCACGTTGCATTTCAGTTTGACTGCATGCCTGTGCACGATAAATCATCAAATAGATGTTTCGTTTCATAATGAACTAAACCAGCTTTTGTCTGTAATCAGCTGTTTTGTTATGGTGAGTCACTGTCTCTCAAAGTTTTTTTGTGCCCTCCTTTTATTAGATGAAGGAATGAAAGCCCAACTAAACAAAACATGAACTCTACCTTGTTTTGAGTCTTTTATGAGGTGAACTAACATCCTTGAGCTGCTATGACTTGGGTGAGGGCTGATGGCTATAAAGCCTTGTTCTCCTCGCAAGAAAGGAGAGGGGATGGCATGATGCTAAATGCTTGATGATGTATTATCTTTTTTGTGGCAGTTCTATAGAATTGCCCAGATTCAACAGTGCTTATTTTCTCTAAATACACATTCGTATTTTATGAATGTTGTCTTCTAAAGGACAGTGTATGAATTAAGTGGGTTTGAACAAAGCTGTTAACCAGGTAATGCAATTGCTTAGTGATTCTGCAGTGCTAAGAGCCCATTGCATTGGACTTGAAATCTAGCAGTGGAACTGTTTCTTTCCTTGTGCTCTTCCCTGTACTGTACAGTACGTTTGGACTCTGCCGAGGTGCCTATCTTTTGTGTACAGCCTGGAGCTGAAGCGCTTGACAGTTCATTAAAGAACCGAGAGAACGTCTGTCCTTATTTTTGGATGGCGTGTTGGAGAAGAGGGATTGCACGAGCTGCCAGGAAGCAGCGAGGGGCGGACACAGGGAGCTAAAGTGGAGCTTTTCTCAGCGCTGGCATTGTGTTTCCAGGGGCTTCAAAGCTGTCTGCCCCAGAGCTGCTGGCTCTTGAAGCACTTTGGAGAACAGCTACCTTGATCAGGCGATTGAAGAGACAGATTTATGATGAGCAAAGACTGTTTACAGCTGAAGAGGTGCATTTTCTCAATAGAAAACTTCTTGGATAATCCTTGAGTTAATTTCAGCTAAAACAACAGAGTTCCACAACACCTTATCTTTATGATTGTATTCTTAGAACAGTAAAATGTATAGTTCCTTAATGATACATTTGATAATACTTTATTGGGACAGTCCACTGTAGATGCTTTGTAGATTCTTACCTTGTCATTAATTTACATTCAACTCAATACTGTGTGTATGAACATCACCTGAAATTTTTGCTAAGCCTAAATATAACGCTCACTGTACCTACCATGCTAACCTTAACCTCAACCTCAAACCTGTTCATAACCTTAACCCTGCTACTCATTAGTTGTTTCACAGCATAGTTTGTTCATTGGAGTCATTGGAGCATCTGTGAATAATCTACAGAGGGTTATGCAAATAAAGAGCTGGTCTGATTGACTTTTCTTTTCCACTACTGATACCAAAGTTGAAACCTTAACCTTTTAAACTCCTTAGAACCACCGGTGGTTCCAAAACGCACTACGTCATATTCTTCATAACTTTTATATTTCATAAGCTACATTCAAAAGGTGGGTGTCATATGAGAGCTGTAACTGTCTTCTTTCCAGTCAAATAGACGGGTAATGTAATTTTAAACCCTTATAATAAAAGAAGCTGAACTCACAATTTTTTTGTCTACTGAAAGTCGACCCATTTTTCCACAAATCTGGGATAAAAACTATAAACAGATGGTGTCTCTTCAGTGATCTGCTCTGTAAAAATTATTTTTATAAAATAATACAAAAAGCATTTTTTGGTTTTCAGCAGTAAATTGTAAGCATATAGCAGTATGTGTATGATCATAAAACACATTTTCTGTTCATTTGAGGGGACCTTTTACAAAAAATAAATAAATAAAATAAAAATTTAGTACAGTAAAAAAGTACAGTACTTTAAAAACTACTGAGCTGCTAATATGAGCATGTAAAAGTATGCTGTTTTGCTCGACTCAAACACTCTACTACTCCACATCAAGAAAAACACAACTAACATTATCACATCACACGATGTGAGAGTACTGTTTCAGGCTAGTTTTGTTCCAAGATTGGATTGGATTCATCCTTTTTTTTCATTTTAATTTAATTTTATTTATTTTTAGTAGTAATTTGATCTACTTCAGAGGATAATTTGTCCTCCAATATATATGTTTCTCCAAATATTGAGGGCAATAGATCAAACCTTCTGAAATTCTATCCTGATGCTAAATGAGACTAAGCCTCTGCAAGTTTATGACAGTTGTTAAGCCAATCACAGTTATCTCTGTCAAGCGAAAAAAAATCACAAACTCTCAGAACTCCTCAAAACAAACCTGCAGTGGCAGCAAATTAGTCAGAATTATTAGATTAAAAATGTAAAAAGGTGTTACAGAGGAATAATTAATTCAAAAACACACGCTATCCTGATCATCTGGTTGGATGGTGTTTTATTTCATTTCTGAAGCTGAGAAGGTTTTGGATTAAACTTTGGCAATGGGAAAACTATTAACAGGCTCTAATGCAAGCTAAGCTTTAAGTACCGCATTCGCAAAAATCATTTTAAATAAAAAGTCCAATGATAACTAAAACTATAGAAAGATCACTAGTTAGCTAAATAGCTAAATAGTTAGCTTTTCTTAGCTGCTGACAGCTTGATAAATCAGTCAGATTAAGCAGGACTGTACTATGCTCACATTTGAGGTTAAAACACAATGTGTAAAGTTGAATATTAATGCGCTCAACACATGCCCTTCATTCTGTTGTTTCATTGAGTTTGCTAAAAGACCTTGTGTGATATAGAAGTACTCCCAAAGACACCATAGGCCTCCTCAGCATCAGCGTCAGTTCTTACACACATACATCTCCACTGAATGTCTTGTAGAGCCAGTTTACTTTCTTTAAATGTTTCAAACGTACTTCTCTGTCAGTGTCTAAATTTCTCTTTGCACAGCTTAAATTTTATGGATGCTGCTGGGTAGCCTGAACTGACATATGAATGTCTAAGTTTGATGGACATAGCAACAATAACTAAGGGGGACGGGACTTTTGCAAACGGTCAATTACTGTTGGGTCAAATTGAGTGAAGGCTGTTGCCGTACCAGCGCAGACCCAACCTATAGGAAGTATGTGTAAGAGAAGAGACACATCAAAGAGAAACAAAGAAGAGCGAAGTAAAGTAAAGGGCTATAGCATTAGGTCCACACAAGAGCAACGGTGGCGAAATGAATGGTTCAGTGGGAGAGAGATGACCCTTTTCTGCTCCCCGAGGCTGCCACACTGTTTTTCTCCGTCAGCATCATCTGTAACCTCCAGCAGAGAGAACAAGAGAGAGAGAGAAAGAGAAGGTTGTTGTAGAAGTCATCCTCTGCCAGTTTCCTGTGTGGTAGCTGGAGTCGGGACATGGCAGAACAATGGCGATAATCAGGCAGATCTGTTGTTGCTGGCAGATAGAGCAGAATAACTTTTGATGGCCTATGAGGACCTAGTTTGCACTCTGCTTCCTTTATTCAGAGCTGCGAGGAACTATATCATGTGATGCTGGAGCCTTAGGCTGCCTTACTGGCATTGGAAACTATGAAAGGCAAACTGACACAAGAAGATTTGAGAAGCTCAGAAACTCTTCTGTTGAGTGATTGATTCATGTGTTGATTTTAAATTCTTACATACTTTAATGTGGCTTTCTGATGCCATTTCTTAGCTGGCCTGATTCCTTAAAATTCTTTGTCCATGTTTCCTTTAGAATCTCATCCAACCAAGGAGCAATGCTGCCAGCTGAATATTAGCTCCAAGAAGCAGTGGAGAGCGTCCAGTGTCCTGCCACGAGAAAAACGTCTTATCTGATCTGGTAGGCATCTCTATTGTATTTTTCATTTATTTTATTTTTTTTGAAGAGGACGAAGAAGAAGAAAAATTGCTGTGTCATGGGCTATTCCATTCCATTCCTGGTTATTTAGATAGCTCTCATTATTTACATGACTTTTTCAACCTTACATTAAGCCACCAATAACAGTACTCCGTTCAGTGGAGGAAGATTATAACAGAGGTTTCTGGTGCGATGAAGTTATATTAACAAAAAGAAAAGATTAATGTAATTAATAGGAGCTGAGGAGTGAGGGTGGATGTGGGACTCCCCATTTGCAGGGTTATTTCTGCATGAGTGCACAATGGGAAATCACTGGGAGGCAGAAATCGGGCTGCAAGCAGCAGGAGGTCCTGAGGACTACTTAGGGCCGGATGACTGATTTGGGTTTCAAATCGGCAGAGATGCTTCGGCTTTTGGGAGCCTCTTGGAATAATTTCAAGAGCTCCCCAAATCCCGGAGCTATATTGAAAGTATTCTTGGAATTGGTTACAATACATATTTTCCCCGTCCAATTCTAAATTTGTTTCTCATTTAAAGAAAATACGGGGTCTAAGCTCCACTTGCTCTTGTCACCCCGGGAATGAATGTGCTCCACTCAAGGGGACACAAGTGCCAGAGAGGATTTGGTTGCTCTTTCAGAGCTGGTGTGGAGGGGGACGTTCATGAGGACGAGGGGACGAGGGCGTCCGTAAGTGCACTTGAGCTTCTGAGCCAGGCCAGTGCTGCTGTGAGTCAGGTGCACATGGCTAATCTTTACACTTCCGTCTGCAGGCAGTGTAGCTTTCAAACATGTTTGTTTCAATTATTATTATTTTTTAGTAGTAATTGAATAATGTACCAATTTTTTTAAAAACAAAACGTTTTTGAAAGCAGCCAAAAAATTAAAAAAAAAAAAGCTTGACTGTTTCGAAACCTCTCCTTGGAGAAGGCCAGTATAATAACCATCCAACTGCTTGTTCAGCTAATCTAAACTTCATTTAGTTTAATAGAATTTAAAGCATTCACACTAATCCATACAATGACTGAAGGTGTATTTAGTAGAAGCTGGAACCAAACCTGTGTTCTTCTAACAAAGATATCAATGAACTGAAAAATTCTCATTACTTTTAACTGCATTAGTTTTTATTTGAAGGTAGGTATTTGGAGGTATGTTTGAGCAATACTTGTAAATAGTGGTAGAGTAGCTTTGAAGCAGAAGGCTGTATGAAGGTTGAGATGTCCATATTTGAGAAGGGGCAGAAGATGCTGGGGGCTTTGAGTTTTGTGTTGCTGAAGGAGCAAGAGATGGGACAAGGTCATTAGGATTCTGATGGAGTGTTGGCGTCTGGTGGTGCAGAGCCATGCTTGGCTGCTTGGCACGGTAGGGCAGCACAGTGGCCATTAAGGCAGCTGGGTTTGGGGGTCAGGGCCCATGGAGGGCACTGCTGGGAGCATGCGTCAGGCTGCACTCCAATGAGTACCCTGGGCAGGTGGTCTATGGGGGGACAGCGGGCTGGAAGACCAGGACAAATTGGCACAGGGAGGCTCATTTCCCAAGCCCAGCATGAGGGACAGCATAGTGACTCTATGAAAGGGACGAAAAAAAATACAAAAGCAAAGACTCCCAAGGGCAGCAGAGTATGAGTGATGATTTAGGGGAGAGGTCAGTCGTTTGTACTGCTCCCACATACTCTATGGGTGCACTGGTCACTTCCCCACGCCAGCTGTGCTTCATAGAAAAGGCCAAGCGCTACAAGCCCAAGCACATTTGTGTTTAAGTGGACATTTTCACACACAAACAACCGCATTATCGTAAACACACACAAACATAAACATGACAGATGCTGTTCTACGACCACTGGAATAAGTTTATTTTTATTTAGGACCTTTAGGGTATTTAAGCACTTGACAATAAGTGCTTATATGGTTTTTATTCACTGGAGGGAACTAAAACCAAATCTCTTGTTTTCAAATGAAGTAGTTTGATGTCGGATTAACATTGTTTGAGATTCAAAATGTACTGTTCACCTCCCAGTCCATACAGTCCATGAAAACCAACACATTTGTACTACATATATCTGCCTGTTCAGCCTACAGCAGTTTAGCCCACCCATTCATGTTGAAGTTATTGAAGGACTGCTTTTTGAATCATAGTACAGAGCAGCCACTCAAAACAGAGGTCTCTTATGCATACAGTAAGGCTGCACAAAAAAAAAAACACATTAAAATCTGTCTCGATATGTTACTCAGTGCGATTCAATTACGAGAAGTGTTGACTCTGCAGACTGTAGTAGGGATGTAGTATTCACCACAACAGTGATAGCATACCGACTGCGTTAGCAGCATCATCGCCATAATGCAGAGTTCTCATAAGAGCACAGTTAAGCAGAATTAGATCATAAGCAGTAACCACAGTGATTCTGTACCGCATCGCTGCCACCAGTGTGGGCATTTACATCAGCTGTGTGCAGCAAACTTTCCATGTTAAGTTTCGTGTAAATAACAGCGTAGGGGAGGTGTGGTCACTTGTATAATATCCATAGCAAAGCATTAGAATGAGATGCTTTGGAGCATTGTTTAGAGGGGTATATAGAGCATTTGAGTTCTCTGGAGTAGTGAAGCACCATTCAGTACCATTGGGATGAGTGGCATTTGTGATCCAGAGCTAGACATCCAGCAGCAGCTCCTGACCTCACTAATGCTCTTTAGGCTAAATGCAATCAAATCCTCACAGCAATGTCCCAACGTTTAGTATAGATCCTTCTCAGAACAGAAGAGGAATGATGATCTCTCTGTTAATACGCTTGATTTCAGGAGAACCGTCGGATGAGCAGATGTCTACAAACTTTAGGACTTGTATCTTATAGACAGTAACAACAACAGTGCGTTTAAATCTGAGGGATAACTAGAGGTTGGAAAATTGTTGTTCAGTGCTAAAACATAAAACTGCATAAATATCGTCATAAATGGACCTCAAGGGAAAAAATATATAGGACATTAAGAAATCCAATAAAAATTTAGCATATGGGCCCTTGAAAATAATTGCATAGATTCCAGTGTAAAATAGATGCATTTAATTTGTGCAATTAGAGAATTTCTTATTGTACCAGAGACCGCTGAGTATATTGGACTGAAATATGTTTATGTGAAGAAAATCAGTGTACCGCATACTTTGTCCTTGGTGTGACTGCTTTTGTATTGCGTTTTGATTCAGTGGGTGACAGTTTTACTTGAGATAGTAAAGATTTCTGACACTGAGGATGACATAAGCCGAAGCGTTTATTCTCAAGAATAAAATACAGAAATGCTAAAGCACATTTATTTTTAAACTTTTTTATTCTCAATAAGTGACCTTGAACACCACTGTTCAGTCCCAGGATAATATCTTTTATGTGCAGAGGTTTGCTGTTTTGGTTTGATAAAGCACCGTAAATTAAGCTTTTCTCCCCCATGTGATTTGGTAGGATAATGACTGAAAGAAATGTGTGGAGAGAGGTGGAGTGCGGTAATGGCAGAAGCTACTTACTAGAGTAACACAGTGTTATGAATGCTTGTTCCACATGTATGTCAGCAGGGCCGTGCATTACTCTGGGTAGGTCCATGCATGCCTGCATGTGATTTAGGGAGACAGCAGGTGTGTGAAATGTGTATTTCCCACACACCCTTGCCAAAAGATGACACATGCCCTCTATACATCAGCAGCCAGGGATACAGCAGTTGACACCTATTCATCTCCTCCCAGACCTGTCTGCATGTTTTTAAAGGCTGTTAAAGTGACATCCATCAGGACAGGTGAAATTCAGCGTACAGCAGCCATTCTTGGAGTAGCAGCCCTGAAACTGGGTATCTGAAGTGAGCAGCTGAAACTGCCATCCTTTCTTAAACCGAGTGACCAATCACCAGCAAGACATGATTGCGGCACATATCACGCTGCCTTTAGAAAGTGGTAATAAAGTAAACAAATTGTCCAGATGAGTCGTATTTTTGATTGTTGTTTTTTCCCCTGTTGTCCTGAGAATATCTAGTAGATGACAACTTTATTAAACAGAGGCAGATTTATTTTTGAAAGCACTCATTTTGGTAATACATATTTTATATTCTGAAGGACAGTGGTGCTATCAGTCTTCCCCCCCCTCAGGCATGACACTGTTGATAAGTGCATGGTGAGGTATAAATCTCATCTCTGCTGTCATACAGACTCTGACCTGTCCATGCCTATGCAGGCGGTCTGTATATGTGAGAAGAAACAGATTGAACTAGCTTGTTTTACATTTTTTCTCCCCTTTTTACGTTAAAGCGGTTGCTCGTTTTTGAAATCTGCTTCTGTCTGATTGAAACACCCTCAGGTTGTATCTCTCAGACATTTCATCCATAATCATTTGTTTGTTCAATGTGCCATCTAGTGCACAAAAACTCTGACTCCATCTCATAAAGACAGAATTTTTTTTCTTCTGTCACAGCATGCTCTCAGTTGATAGCAGAGGGTCCTTGAGGGCATACTATGGCAGACACACACGGTTTGCTTTTAATGATTGTACCCCCCCCCCAGTGCATGTGCTTTTTGTCACTGAGCACCTCTGACAACCTGTAGGAGCATGCATATGATGACAGTATGTGGTGGACAATACAGCAGAAATGTAACATGCCCTCTTGAGCGCATTTTCATGTTATAGGGTGTGTGTTGTGATATTTGCGCCAAAAAACTGTACAAAATCAGAAAAAAAAAAATTAATTTCATTCATTTCCAGTCAAAACAGCCATTAAGTACAAATTATTCATTTTTCAGGAGATATTTCTTGGCAGACTGTGCATAATATAATCCACTTGTATGAGGAAAGGAAAAGCCAAGGGAAAAAAATCCAAAATTGGAGTTAAAAAAAAAAAAGATTAAAATATATAGAAAATGGAACTCAACTAATGTTGTCACGATACTGAAAATTTCAACTTTGATGGGATACTTTAGCAATAGAACATGAGAGGGAGTGTGTTATCACAAAATAACA